ATCCATTTTTGCACCTGACCTAGAGCAAATATTAGGATTTGCAAAGTTGGAGCACAATCGGACTATGGCTTCTCTTTCTCTTTTGTGGGGGAGGTATCAAAAGAAGTGGACCGATATTATCCATTCCGAACTCGATTTAAGTTGGACCAAAATATTACGATGTACCAAGGTTGAACCAAATCGGATACACCCTTCAAAAGTTATCGTGCGCACCAGCCAGGCAAACAGATTGACGGACGGGCGGACATCTCTAGATCGACTCCAAATGTCCTGAAACGGATTTGGTTCAAAGAAACCTAGGGTCTAAAACCGTTATTTCGACTAGGCACGTTTTGATCTATCAAATTATATATACCCTCTCTAGCCATATCGCTGAGGGAATAAAAATGAACTATTTTTGAAATCAAGTTTTGTAAACAATTTTGTTTCATCAGTCGAAGCTAAATATCAAATTTAATAGTTGTAGCTCCAACAGTTCAATATTTAGTACCTTTTAAATATAGTACATATTACTGAACGGTCCTTACTAGTACGGTCCATATAATTTAATGTCTGAAGATTTTTTCATGCAAATTATGACCGCGATTGTCCCTCAAGTGGTGGTCCATCCGACTAGTCCAATTTTGGCATACTCTTTCCTACGTTGTCACCGATACCTCACAAAAAATGCTTCAATGTTGTCTTCCAATGTTTCAATTGAAACGGGCTTGTCTATACAGAAATGATCTATAACATAGGCCAAAAATAGTTCAAATCGCCCGATCTACGTAGCCGGTCCCGAACGTGAAATAAAATGATCACCGAACTCGCCTCTCAATAATTCATTGTTACCCGTGTTGTGTGGTTGTGACACTGCCTTACTAAAGCTACATATCACGCAAGTCAAGCTCTTGCATTTTGGGCAAAACAAAAAAAATGGATATAATCTCGCGGTATCGCTCACCGTTCACGATTCGGTTGAATTACCATACCTTGACTTCATCTGGATGCATTGGTAGCTTTGGCTGACTTCCACTCCAATATCGACAATTCTGCTTAGTTATGTACACATTGAGCCAAAAATAAGCTGGTCATAACATGCCAGAAGCGCGCGATGAACTTTATTAAAAGAGCATGCATTTTGAAAATAAAATTCAATGATTTGCTACTTTAGCTCCAAAAACACAATTTCTATTATCATTTAGTACGAATTTCCAAAAATCCCTGCCTATGACCCAACCAACCTTTCAAATTATGAAAGGCCTGGACACATAAATTCCTCACTATTAACAAACCAAAAGCTTTGCTAATCAAATATAACCGCATTGACTGTAATCCTATTTAAAGGGAACGAAAATATCGCTTTAATGAATAGTTTACAAATGTTCTTCCTCCCCCCATCCACCCCATTGCAATGACGAAACAAAGAGACGGAAAAAATTCATAATTAAAATAAAATATTATCTTCTAATGGATTATTTTTCTGTAACAAAGTGCACTCTTAACTCGTTACTATCCTTTGAGACTTTGAAAAGCATTTCAGCGAAAGAAATGACCTTGAAAACTGCAAAAATTATTTTCAATGCAAATATAATTTTATTATGAAAATTATATGCAAAAATTCCTAGAAAAATAACTTCAATGAATAGTTTGAATTTCCATGAAATCAAACAATACAATATGGTTTAATCGTTACTAAAACAATAAATCAGCAGGTGAATGCTTTAAAACAGTCAGGCGGGGTCGACCATGAGATACCTTAGAATATTGAATTTGCAGGTCAAGTTTTTCTAAGAACTAAATCCCTTTCAGAATAGTAAATCATTGATATTGAACAAAGTCCAAATGAAATTTAATAGTAAATTGTAATTTACACTCATAACTCATATAAGGTGCCCAGCAAAAATTTGGAAGCTATATAAAACCATTACAATGTAACGTAAACAAACTACCTCCCGCATTACTAATATACTTAAAATAAGGCCTCAGCCTTATGGCTAAGGCCATTTTTTGCCTAGTCAAAATAACGGTTTTGGGCCCTAGGTCTCTTTGGACCAAATCCGTTTCAGAACATTTGGAGTCGATCTAGCGATGTCCGTAAGTCCGTCTGTCAGTCTGTCTGTCTGTCTGGCTGTCCAAACTTGGTACAACGTAATATTTTTGTCAAACTTAGATCGAGTTCGGAGATGGGCAATATCGGTCCACTCCTTCTGGTACCTCCCCCACAAAAGGTCGGAATTTTCAAAACATATATTCATTGCACAGAAAGAGAAAGGATAATGCGATTTTACTTCAAATTTGCAAATCCTAATATTTGCATCTGTGCTAGGTCAGGTGTAAAAATGGACAATATCGGTTCACTCCTTCAAGTACCTCCCCCACACATGGTCAAAATTTGGAATAATTACAACTATCATCAAATGTGATGTAAGAGTCCGATTGTCTTCACATTTCACACATACAAACATTTTTGCTAACACCAGATCGGTTGTGAAGATGACTTGATCGAAACCCGCGTCGCAGTTGCCGAAAAATGGCTCGTTAGCTGAAAATATCGTAATATTCCATTCAGCAAATATTGAAAAATGAGCTCAATGTAAAGGCATTAAAATTCCTAAAAATGCCACCACTTACACCGCAACAGAAAGAAAATAGACTCAAAAGAACTAAAGAGTTGCTTCGCTTGGCCGAAAGTGGTGAACTGCCGAATTTGGTTTTCTCCGATGAGAAAACATTCGTTGTACAGCAGTTTGTAAACAAATAAAAATAACGTGTTTACTTGCCAAAGAGGTCAGATGAAAATGTGCACGGTTGGCAACCAGAAGTCAAGCGCCGACCATGGTGATGGTGATGGCCGCCATAACAGCCGATGGTCGCTCTCCGCTCGTAATAATCGACCGTGCCGAATGTTATAGTGAAAATATTATGGAGGATGTATTAAGGTCTTGAGTACCCAAAAATTTTGGCCGCAGACCTTGGACATTCCAACAGTACTCAGCGCCATCGCACTCGGTACGAGCCGCCCATTAATGGTTACACAATGAGGTTCCCCGATTCATTTCCAGCGTACAATGGCCACAAAAACATCCGGATACCAATGTAAAAAAAAATTGTGAATAATGTAGCTAAAATACTCAAAATACCGGATATGGGTGACATACCAAAACGTGGACCTGCACAGACAATTTTTTGTCATAGGCTGTAGTATCCATGACGAACTCCAAATACCAAATTTCAAACAATTCCGGTGAATAATGTCCAAAGCCTCCGGATACCAATCGTCGGGAGTATTTTGGAAAGCAAGGTTAGCACTAAAAGATACAAAAGCGTCGATCACCTCAAGGAAGCGCTTCGCCGGGAATGGGCCAAAATACCGCAGAGCAATATTCGGGCAGCGTGTGACGATTTCATTGGCCGTTTTAAAGCCATAATCCGTGCCAAAGGTGACCAATTCGAACAAATCTAAACTGATTCTAAAATGTGATGCTATTTCCGACAGTTTTTGCTTTCGTTCAATAAAATTAAAAAAGTAAAAATGATGGGGTTCGACTTTGCTGCAGTTTTTTTTTATCTATCCCTGACCTATTTTCACTTTTGGGGGTAGATACCAAGAAGAGTAAACCGATACGTATCATATTCACACGTTTACAGAATTTGGAGAAAATCCGTTAGTTTTTATTGTTTACAATTTTGACATTTTGTGAGGAAGCTACAAGGAGTGAGCAAATTTTGTCAATTTCCAAACTTGATATAAATTTTATAAAAATATTACGATATGCCCATTTTGGAGGAAATCGGCAGACAGGCGGACATACAAAGAAACCAAGGTTCTAAAATCGTTATTTCGATGAGGCATATTTTGAAAGTCAGGCATATTTTGGCAGTGTCTGTAGCCATATGGCTGAGGGTATAATTTTAATAGTTTTTATAAAATGTGAGATTATAAAAAAAAACTTCACACATCTCAATATTTCGGCTTGTTTCTTTCTTTGTTTTTTTTTTTTTTTTTTTTTTTGAGTCAAGATCGGTAAATATATTTCAATTCATACAATATTTGACAAACGATCGAAACTTTGAATAAAGTATAAATACAGGGTTGCCCATATTCGACGGACCTATGACTCTTTAGGCCCATTCCAATCGACGAGGCTTGTCCGCAGGCAACATCCTTTGCGTCAACTGAATTTTGTACGGGAACAAATGCAAATCAATGCGAATAATCCGTTGTAAAGTGGATCGAGCCATGCCCAACCGCTGAGAACGGCGTTTTTGGGATGTTCTTGGGGACCTCTCAACACTGGCTCGTACGGCAGCGATATTCTCGGACAATCGCCTTGGTCGACTTTTATATGGCCTCTTCGGATTAGAAAGAGCCTTACCAGTCGAAAATTTTTCGTATAAACGTTTAACGGTGTTCTTAGAAGGAGCACTTCTCACATTTTTTAATGTTTTAAAAGCACGTTGAGTTTTCACAATTGACTTCTTCTGTTGAATGTAAATTTCAACTATTTCAGAGCGCTCGCGTGGCGTGTATTGTTTCATGGTAAAAATCTGCTTGGACTGATGCTTCAAACGCGGTATGTCATTAAGCGATGTGACATCTCTGCCAAAAGTTATGACGTTGCCAGATGGGTCCGTCGAATATGGACAACCCTGTAATATAATCTGATAGGAAATATCCTACAATTGCGTCATACCACTTTTCAAAAATGATGAACCTTACATTGCAGTGTTTTAATTGTTTCAAAACATGTTTATGAAATTTATTACCCGTTTATTTTAAAAAATTACAAAAAAATATATGTTTTAGGGGAATTCACTGTATGTCCACCGAACATCCACCATCCAATGGCCGTTCATTACAAATGTCAACATTTATTTGATTAAATGTTAAATAAACAAAAATAATGATTTTTTTGTAAAAAAAAAAATTAAAAAACCAAAACAACAAAATTTGAATATTCAAATGTTGGCATTTGAGAGATAATTCAGTAGAGAAAATTCCCGCTGCTGTCCGAACATATTACCCATGGACAAAATGTTCAAATGAATTAATTTCCATATTGGCATGTGTTGAAGCTAATTTCCATCTCGCATCGATGTAATTTGTTTAATGAACAATAACAAACAAAATAATAATAACAACAACAGCGATATGACAATAATTTTTCCTCGAGTGTATGCCGCACAAATAAACAGAATGTTTATCATGGACAGCAACTGAACAGATGGTCAGTAGTATTTAGAGAACGCCACAGAATAGACAGACGGTTGGTTAGTCAAAGAACCAAAAAAAAAAAAAAAAAGAAAAAACCTCCAACGAAACGAAGCAAAACAAAACATTAGTCGTCCCATTGAAGAACAAAAAAAAAAAAAGAATAACAAATTGTCTATTACATTAAAAACAAATTTGATTAGGAAAAAAAGGGAGAGAAAAAGAAGTAGACAACTGGAAAATTGTTATAGAATTGTGTGCGTGCGTGAAAAGTTGCAATTTTGATTTGAAAGAATTTTGTTTTGAAAAGAAAAAAGAAACTAACAACGAAAATGACGGCGCCTAGAAATTTATCCAAATACCTAATGATGGTTCGTCCAAATTATGCTAATAAAAGGAAGGAAACGAGTAAGTGTTGGAATTTCAAAAACAAAAAAAAAAAAAAAAAAAACAAGTGGAAAAAATACTGAATTTCACATTTGTTAAATACCAATACCAACAAACCGCGGTGTCATGCGATATGTTATGGTTATTGCGGGCTTTCCCTCATTTCATTCCTTTGTTTTGTTTTGTTGTAAACATAAACGCTAAAAATACGGCCACGAGGAGGTCGGTCGGTCGGTCGGTCATCTACGTCACAACATAAGTTCAAAGGCAATTATAGAAAGGGCGCTTTAGTTTTCCATTTTCGATTTTCTTTTTCCAAATCCATCACCCACATCACACGCGCTGTTTGTGACATAAACTAAATATTTAATGATTTTCCAAAAACAAATGTTCAAAATTTTCCCGAAAAGGGTCTGTTTCGATATTGTTTTTTTTTTTTTTTTTTTCATCAATAAATAAATGAATGGATAACCATAAATTGTTAATACAAATTATTAACTAATAAATTTGTAAAGCCACGGGGCTATTGAAAATGTATGTTTGTGCTAACACATAAATAGCCCTTTCCAAAGTTCGCAGGAAGGTAAACATATTATGCCATATGTAGTGTATTGAGATTGTAATTTGTTGTAAACAATAATTCCAACATAAAAAAAGAAGAAGGGTGAGGCTACCACGTGTTTCCGGACAATTGTTCGATAATATGGGATTGGGAATTTTACAAAAGCATAACAAGTGGAGAAAGATGTAAATGTTTATAAGTGCGGTTGTAAGATTTAGAAGTTTTTCCAAAAGAATTTTAGTTTTATTTAATTCATTTATTGAGCTTACGATATCTTCACTTGGGTAAAAAATGTTTTTTTTTTTTTTTGTCATAGAAGTTATTTTTAAAATAACTTCTGGGGAGAATATCCCAGACAAAAAACAAGGGAACTGATGAGGATTGGTGGCTCTTTCCGAAACCTAGGTATTCCCTGCCTTACCCCCTGGTAAACATTACCATCGTTCTCCACTAATAAACAAACGTTGTTTTTATAAAAACAACAATAAAGGGATAAAGCCTGACCGTTTTGCAACAACAAAATACTACGGTATCCCGAACAAACAAGCCACACTGTTCTAAAATGTGGGTATTTTTTGAGGAGTATACTAAAAGCTGCCATTATCGCCTATTATCTACTTTCGGTAGAAATATGGGGACTAACACGTTTTGGGAAAATCGGAAACTACATAGTAAGGTAAAAAAACTGCAACAAAGGCACACGCCATAATCCTTCTTTTTTAAATTTTATTGAGTGAAAGCAAAAAATGTCGGAAATAGCATCAAATGTTAGAGTAAGTTTACATTTGTTCGAGTTGGTCACCTTTGGCACGTATTATGGCCTTCAAACGGCCAATGACACCGCCACACACTGCCCAACTTTTGGTCTGCGGTATTTTGGCCCATTCCCGGTGAAGCGCTTTGGTATTTTATAGTGCCAACCTTGCTTCCCAAAATACTCCCAAAATACTAGACACAATAGTCCAACGGATTGGTATCCGGACATTTTGGTGGCCATTGTGCGCTGAAAATGAAGCGAGGAATCTCATTTTGTAACCATTCTTGGGTGGCGTGTGCTGAGTGAGTGCGATGGTGTTGAGTCCTGTTGCAATGTCCAAAGTCTTCGGCCAAAGGCTTTAATACACCCTTCAGAATATTTTCGCGATTATATTCGGCATTTATTCTGATGCCACGGTCGATTAATACGAGCAGAGAGCGATCATCGGCTGTTATGGCGGCCCGCACCATCACTTTGGCAGGTGCTTGAGTTCTGGTGGCGAATTGTTGTTTGTTGTTGTTGTTTAAAATGTTAACAGGAAATCTTTCCTGAATTGTGTCAAAAACCAATTGTGCCAGAATTTTTCTTTGAGATATGCAATTTTTCGAACCTCGAAGAAACAACCTGAGAGAATTATAATTTTTGAGTTTTGAAAAAAAAAAATAAAGTTGTTCTGAACTGTCCTTATGTGTTATAGACTGCTATTTTCGAAAGTATGCCAAGAAAAAACCAGTAAAAAAAAGACATAAAGTCGGGTGGGCCCGACTTTATGATACCCTACACCACGTTGCATATTTAGTAGAATTTCACATAACAAATAAAAGTTTTAATGGGGAATTTGTGAGAATTAATTCATACCAACTATGATTATAGTAATAATTAAAAGTCTAAAAGATCTAATATATGGGAGGAATATCCTCCTCTGAATCGATTTCTACTAAATTTGTCGAGGCATTTGCGCCTTTTCAATTCGTGTTTGTATTGTCCGTTTGGTGCACAATTAACTTGAAATCGGATAGATATATATATCTGAACCGATCTCGTTAAAAATTTGGCAAAGGTATTTCTGAGCTGTATTTTATATATTTCCCGGAATATCGTTACTACGGAGTCCATATTACGGCTATGCAGGGCAAATTCAATAAATCGGATGAACAATATATATGGGAGCTATAGCTATATCTGAACCGATTTCCAGCAAATTTGACATACTGGTTTCTAGACTCAATTTGGTAGTAAGTACCAAATTTCATTCCATTTGAGCTAATAAAAGGCAAATCGGACGAAGATATATATCGGAGCTATATCCAAATATTAACCGATCACGATAAAATTTAGCAAGGGTATTTCTGAGTTATATTTTATATATTTCCCCAAATATCGATGTCACAGAGTGCATATTACGGCTGCGGAAGACAAAAATAAGAAATAGGATGAACAATACATGTGGGAGATATATCTATATCGGAACTGATTTCCATTAAATATTGGCATACTTATTTTCAGGTTCAATCTGGTCGTACGATATTACAAGTTTGGTGCACAATATAAGGCAAGTTGCACGAAAATTTATATGGGAGCTATATCTAAATTTTGACCGATTATCTCCAATTTCAATAGGGTTCGTCCTTGGCTCAAATAAATTATTTGTGCAAAATTTCATCTGAATCGGGTAATAACTGCGACTTGTACTTTGTTTACAAAAATACCTGGACAGACATGCGTAAATCGACTCAGAATGTAATTCTATGCAGATCATCAAAAGGAACTACGGGTCTATCTCGTTTCCTTTTGATTGTTACAAACAAATGCACAAAGACACAGCCTGACCACCCTGTAGTGTATGGTATAAATAACGCTGTAATTTCAGTAAAAATGCAAATATCGAAATGCTTCAAATAGTAATTGTAACTTCCAAATTTCGAACAAACAAAAGTTACGCCGAGGTGTGTTGAATTTTAATTTTTAATTATTTAATATTTTTAATAATTAAAAAAAAAACTGTTGTACAATACAGGGTGAGATAAAAAATTTTTAAATTATTTTATTCATTGAAAGGCAAAAATGTCGGAAATAGCTGTTACCTGTTAGAATGTCCAAGGTCTGCGGCCAAAATGTTTGCGTGTCCAAGGATGTAATACACCCTCTAGAATATTTTCGCGATAATATTCGGCACTTATTCTGATGCCACGGTGGATTAATACGAGCGGAGAGCGACGATCGGATGTTATGGCGGCCCACACCATCACCATGGCCGGCGCTTGAGTTCTGGTGGCCACCGAAGGTGCAACATTTTCAGCTGATCTCTTCGATCTCATCGGAGAACAGAAAACCAAATTCGGCAGTTCACCACTTTCGGCCAAGCGAAGCAACTCTTTCGCTCTTTTGAGCCTATTTTCTTTCAGTTGCGGTGTAAGTTCTTGCACTTTTTGGACTTTCAATGGCTTTACCCCGAGCTCATTTTTTAATATTAGCCGAATGGAATATTGCAATATGTTCAGCTCACGAGCCATTTTTCGACAACTGCGATTAAGTTGCTCCTTTACTTTTCGAATCAAGTCTGCTGATGTTGCTCTTTCCTTCCGTCCACTTTCTTGACGTCGAGCTACGCTACCAGTATCACGGTAACGAGTGACGGTACAAGACACAAAAGATTTATTCACATTTAAATGCTGGAGTGCTCTAACGATAGCCGATAGCTTGTGGTTTTCCAGCCAAATATAAAGGAATCACACTATCACGCTTGAATTCCATCACCAATAACTTTTTTTCTGGAAAATTCTCACCAAAATGCTTTTGTACGCTTGTAAACAATATAATGAGCTGTCACTGGAATATTGTTAACAGCTGTCGGACGAGTGGCTTAGAAATGACAGTCTGAAGTTGGTTGGAGTTTTTTCATCTTACCCTGTATACATTTCTCCAAAATTTTAGTGTTCTAATCTAATTGAATCGAAAAATTCGTCATTAAAACAGACAGAAAATGTACAGACGACCACCGCTAGATCGAATTGCCGTGGTTGTTTCTAGGAGTTACTAAGGGAATATCAAAATTAAATATATTCTACATAATATGGTGGAGGGTATAAAATCTGTAGTGAACTGGTAAATTGTAATGTTTTTTGACTCGCTTAGCATGGAGTGGCTAATATGTGTTGGTCTATGACCACAAATATTACTTGATATAGGGCTGAATACCATCTTTTTTGAAAGTCTCATACAATAATATACAACCCCATTACATGCTGGCTCTACTATTTAAAATTCATGTACACTTTTGCAAAGAAACTTTTAACCCACAATGTTTTATGGCGGAAAACTTCTTTTGGGAAGGAAAGCCTTTGTTGAGTTTTTGCCATAAGATGAGATTTTTTGATATCCCAACATCCTATTGTGTTTGTACATTTTTTATTAGTATAATTCGACGCATTTACTATGGATTTAGCGTAGTTCAATATATCGATGCAATTTAATAGTTAATTGTTAGTGTTATGCCGGTCAACTTGCACGCGATGAAAATGCTCATTTTTATTAAAAGTCATAAGTTACCCTAACGATCCAAAAAAAAAAAAAAAAAAATTAATTTTCTCCAACAATATGTGAAGCAAAATATATATAGAGAATTCGTTATAGGGTATCACATATGAAGATGCCTTTTTGACCATAAAACAGTATGGAGCAACAATTTTTACATTCACCGTA